ACACCTCCACCCACCAGAGCACTAATTTCCAAGTGTAGTATGTCCTATGGAATATTTCATACTTGTTATTCTCCACATCTCTCTGGGAATTTTTTTTTTCATTTTGATACCAGGAATTGAACTCAGTGCCTTGTGCTTGCCTGGAAGGTGCTTATGCTACTAAGTTATATCCCCAGCTCCTTTCTGAGGTATATTATAATCCAACACTGGCTCTGTTCTGCCTATATAGCACTTAGATAACCATGATCATGCTCCTTCCATGTTGATGTCACAGGCAGCTGCACAAGGACAAGCCTGTTCTGTGTGCTGATGTCTGTGCCGTCAGTAGTGTTATGGAAACAGAGGTGCAGAGACCAGTGAGGCAGGCAAAGTTGAATCACAGATGCTGAGCACTTGATTGCAGAACAGGTACAGTCCAGCCAAGGGGGAAAACATTGTTGGCTTTGAGCAAGGCGTGAAGGCATGTTTTTATAGGGGAGTTTAGGTAGGGGAGGGGGCGTGACCAAGGTGACCTGCAAAATTTCGGTCTCTAAGTAGGGCTACTAAGGCTAGGTGATAGACAGGCAGTACTGGGTACAGAGGGTGCTGGCAGGCTTTTGTGGCATCAGATTTGTGCGGGTTGAGCTGGGTGTGGCAGTTGCTGGTTTAGCATCCCACTTCCCCAGGTGTGCATAACAGATCTCCTTCAGGAAGTTTTCTCTCCTAATTGGGTGGGGGGTCTAGTTTGGAAACCTGACAAGTAGCTTTCAGATGCTCAGTGGTAAAGAGTCACTGATAAGCAAACCCTTTCTCTTGTAGTAGAAGTTTTATAGCCAGTTGTTTTCTGTAGAAGGAAACATGAATGCCAACAGGTGTTAGAAACCAAATACCAGATAAAGAAGGCTAAAAATAAATGAACCCATAACTCTGTATTAAGTGGCCATATTTAAAATTGTGCTTATAATCTATATTTAAGTAATAGCAATATATTTCAATATGTTTTCCACTCTCCCCTTAACTAACTGGTCAGTCATTTTCTAGGTACGTATTTTAAAAAGAGAGATTGTTAAATGGTTTAATATTAGCAAAATCTGAGTTATGATTCTTACTTTAAAGAGCAAATAGCTTGCATAAGGACAGAGTTGATTCCTGCACAGGAATCTTACTTCCATTGTTTCATCATCACGACCATCAACAATGAATGACATCATTCATTTTTATTTATCATTCACACAGTTTCACTACACATGACTTAGCTAGCATGTTTCAAAATTGGCTTCAAGTGCTGAGAATAAACTAGAGAACAAGAACCATTTTATTACCATTGTGAAGCTACATTTCTAGAGTATAAAGAAGACAAATGATCACTTAAGTTGATTACAGTATATTATTGTTCATAGACAGTTATACCACACACATGAATGTGGCATATCTGAAGATTCACCTGAGTGAGTCTAGAGCACACATACGATGCATGGTGCATGCTGTGAAGAACTGAAGCTTTGTGACAGGACAGTAGGGGCACGGTATCTTACTTCAGGGATGATCAGGTAATGCTTCCAAGGACTTGAAACATTAAAGAGACACCTGAATGATGGTGCAGAGGGAGTGCTGAAAATTTGTTGAGGGAATGCTCTAGAAGCAATCGTGTAATCTTTCTTGAAATATATCAAGAAAGAGTTTATATGAGCTATTTTAATACTTTCAGCACTTAAAACTGATTATTCAAATTCTCTGTGAAAAAAAAAGGCTGAGTATGTTTTTCAGTCTCATAGCTGTTACCTACAGAGCTATGGTGCAGAGTTGTTTGGGCGTATTCTCAATTAGAGGAATAATATCCGGCTTGCAAAACTAGAAGAAACTCTCAAGACGAGAGATATTTGAAGCTGAGTGTGGCAGCATTTGCCTATAATCCTCGCACTCTGTGAGACTGAGGCAGGAGGGTTGCAATTGCAAGTCCAGCCTGATCAGCTTTGTGAGATCCTGTCTCAAAGTTAAATAAATAAATAAATAACTAGCCTGAGGATATAGCTCAGAGCAGAAGTCCTGGGTTAAATCCCTGGTATTATTGAGGGAAGCATAAAAGGAGAGAGATGAGGGACATGGAAAGAGGGAGAGAAAAGGGATTTGGGCAGGACTTTGAAGGGTTGACAAGGCTTAAAATTCTGCTGGAAACATATGGAAGGAAGTGAATGCAACAAAATTAAGTATGGAAGAAATTAAGGATCATGCTAACAATGAAGCATCTAAGACAATGTGGAAAATGATGTGGGAAACTGTAACCAGAACAGTATGGGGAAAAAACCTGTCTCAAAAGAAGATCAAGTAAGGTGGTGATCGTGGTGCTGTGATTTAGAAAAATATTTATAAAGACACAAATTTTTACTCAGTCCTTTGGCTAGAATACCAATGTTAAAGTGACAGCAAAAATGTGCTTTAGAGACATTAATGCATGGAATGTAAGATATTAGAAAGAGGAGATTTAAAATACGAAATCATTAGTAAGCGGTTATTAAGCAGTGGTACGCACTTATCTTGAAATCTGAACAATCCTAGAGAAGCTATATATTCTTATTTCCATTACTTTATAAATATAAAAATGTTTCTCAAATATGTTTTACTGTTTTAATTTTATTTATTTATTTGTGGTGAGGATCAACCCTGGGGCCTCCTACATGCTAGGCAAACATTTAGCTGCTCACTGAGTCATCTGTTTACCATTTTTAAAATACAATCTTTCTTCCAGAGCTGTGGGTGGGAAAATATAGATATTTGTGAAAACAGGATCGAATTCTGAATTCGTAAATTAATGTGAGTTTTATCAGTAGAATATTCATATTCAGTTCTATTGTGCATGAGTTCAAAAGTTCATTGGTTTATTGATGTATTAATATGTTTATTCTAGAAGTATTTTTAATTTTTAATTTTAATAATTTTTACAATAAGGGTACTAAAAGCCTCCTCTTATTCAAAGTAAATTGATTAATCTGTCTAAATACCTTATTCTCCCTTCTTAAAATCACTATATGAAAATTGGCATCTGCGTTTAATTTGTAAATCAGAGGAACTCCCTTGTGCATCTATCAAAATAATAGTAATCTACCCTGATTATTATGTAGATATTATCAGATTTTAAATAGAAGATACTTCCTCTCAAATAGATGGTCAGATAGCTAAATTATGATTATTACACAGATTAAAACCTGCAAAACACAGGAGTCATTCACTAAATGTTTGTCTTCAGTTACAGTGATAGTGAAAGGTAAGTACATTTTAGCTACTCACTGAGTCATCAGTTTACCATTTTTAAAATATAATCTTTCTTCCATAGTTGTGGGTGGGAAAATATAGAAACAATCAGTAAATTTTAATTTATAATTCTTGGTTCTTTTAATGGAATGAAAGGTCAGTTATAATTGCTAAATTGCTGTTTTTTTAAAATCTTCTACTGTCAAGCAATAATGTTTGTTTAGATCCTTTAGAGTTAAACACAGTGCTTTTCCCAGGACCTACTGGGTGCTCATTTCTGTCCCTGCTGTCCCTCCTTCAGCATCTCCTATGAGTCTTTCACAGCTTTCAGACCCATCAGACCCAACTGTCACAGCACATACCTCCTAATGAAGGATCATGCTTAGAAACCTAGGAAAACTTTGCCTACAGGGTAAGAGCTGATGATCGTAAGATAGCCATTGCTTGTTTTGAGGTTACTACTCTAAAACTAATGATTTGAGAAGCCACTATCTTGATTTAATTTGAAAAGAAAGGTTGTAAAATAAGTATTGTTTGAAAACAGGTACGGAGTGAGTCAATTTAGGAAAAAGAATAGAATAGACCTTGGATATACTGGGTTCATCAGAATGAAAGACAAATACAGAGTGGCAGGTCACAGAGGGGAACAACAGATTATTACACTTGGTTTCTTCTTGTTTTATTTAGGGGCTCACTCTTTAAGTTTAGTGTGCTTGTGGAGAATTCTTAAAATCACTATATGAAAATTGGCATCTGGGTTTAATTTATAAATCAGAGGAACTCATGTACATTTTTTCGTCAATGATTCTGTCCTAATTATCTTTGTTTAATTCAAATCTGCTTATGGAATCCGTGAGTCATTTGTGTATACTTACGGAGCTAGATACTGTCATACTTTGTTTTATTTTTTCCCCAATCATTTAGCTGTTTCTCATTAAAGAATATTATACTGAGAAAGTTTGAAAATTGTTTGGGGGATGGATAGGAAATAGGGAATGAGGAGCTTAATGTTTTATAAACTGTATTGTAAAGCAAACCTAACATTTATTTAAAAACAATTTAGTCTGGGTGAATTAAATGAATGTATTTCTAATCATCAAAATAAACACAGATCATATAAAAATGAATGCTTTTGCTAGATGTATTGTGAGAGATATTCCCATGTATTATTACCCATCTATCTTATCTCCCTGCCAATATCATACGTGTTCCTAAGCAAGAGAATACCATTAACCATTTATATAGAACATTGATTTAATTTAATTACTTCATTTTCTTATTTTTTATGAATGGAAGGGGAGTTATTTAAAAAGTACCTGCTGTGCTGACAAATGTGCTTTGTTCTTTTTCTGTGGGGAATTCATAATGATTTTCTCATTTTCAGTCTTTTCCACTAACAGAAACCTAGTTGATGGTTCTTTAAGAATATTTCCATTTTAGCAAAGATGCACTCTGTTTCTGTAATTGTTTTGTGGACTGTTTTAGCTGTCCTCGTGGTGTTTCTAAGTCAGTGCATATGAGCACTGTCTTCACTTTAGACAGTGAGCATAAAGCTCTGCTGGTTTATCTTGCAGAGAGATTCAATTCCCTCTATCAAAAGGTATTCATTTTTAATATATGCATCTTTGAATAATTAAATAGGTTACTGAAGAGGAAATGGATTCTAATCTGCTTTCAAACTGTGATTGTGTCAGGCACTAAATCATTACTTTATGAATATATTTCTCATAGAGCGTGTATAATTATGAAACTTTCTTTTTTTGTCTCGGTAGGAACTGGGAAGTAACAGCCCTCCACAGAGAAACTGGAAGGGAATCGCTATTGCGCTGCTGGTGATTATAGTTGTATGCTCACTCATCACCATGTCAGTCATCCTCTTAACCCCAGGTAATCTGTCTTTTTTCCTCTTTTATGATGGTATCAAGGATGATAATTTCACATTCAAAAGCTTTAAGAGGTTACCAATATGTGGTGTTCTAAGGCACAGTAGCAATGCTTGGATTTTTTTTTTTTTTTTAAGCATAATCAAACATTTTGCAATGGCATAGTGATTTTGTAGCTGAACTATACAGACTCTGGCGGGAGCTTCAAATGTAAATTATGTAAATTGTGAATGCCAAGGAGGTCTGTAGTCTCTATGGCTGCTTAGAGATTTGTTATGTTTGTCAGTATGATAAATGAATGAAATGATTGACTTTTATTGTAAGTTTGATGAAGGAGAGTTTCCCTGTATGAATGAAAACTCAATGTATGTACATGAAACCTGAGGTTTCAGGAAAGAGTAGCATCTCAAAGATAATGATCAGAGTCTCTGATTGTGGACATCTCTTTTTTCTTATTTTCTTTTGTCTCTGAAATTCTTTACATTCTGAGTTTTGTCCTTGATTAAAGAACCTCTTTAAAATATCTTTACTACCATCTTTGGATGGTGTTATTCAGATTAAGAATTACCATTAATTTATGGAAATTATCAGTTGACTTAATTCTGTCATGGAAACAAGATTAATGCTCAGGAATTTTACTTCTCTTTAGTGTGTGCTAACAAGGAAAGCAGAGATACAGAACTTGCTTTTTAATTTCTTTAATAGTAATCTAGAAAAAATAAGTCTGTCATACTGTCTTTTTCAAAGATTGAATATCGATTTATAGCTTGACATTAAAAAAAAATAGCTATTTCTGGGTTAAGATCGAGCTGGTCCAAACCGCAACCAGTATTACAAAGTTTTATCCTACTGTTGAATGTCTTGTATTGACACCTCTGTTCCTGTCCCAACTTTCTTACTATGTAAATCCATTAAATTTGCTTTATGATGTACAAATGCCATTAATAGTAACTCGTTTTCAGGGTCATTTAATCAAGTAATTACAGTGAATAACAGTACAAATGACTGTTACCAATTGTCTTAGAGTGATACTTTGTGAAATAGTCCATTTTGTAAAAACTCTTGACTCTGAAGGGTCTAAACAACTAACAGTTTGTAGTTTTGTTTAAAATGCAAAGATTGAGAAAGAGTTAAGGAAACCAGGAGACAGGAAAAAGGAGAAAACCTAATTGAAGAAATAAGAAATGAGAAAAATTTCCTGGTAAGAGCTGGCAAATGCAGTATTCTCCTCAGGAACCTTCACTGCCTAGTTTGTACATCTGTGCTACAGTGTAATTGAGTGATGTGACTCTTCTAAATTGTTGCAGGATGCCAACAATCTTTGCTAAAGGAAGATGAGCTCGTGCTCAGATGGTATTTCACTTAAACAGGAATTTTAGCATAATTATGAAAAACAAATGTCTCCGTTTTTCTGTTTTGTGTTGGTGGCTATTAACCAGATGGAAGGTATCAGTGACATAATGTCTACATATTTTTCTTGAACTTCTTTCTTCAAACAAATCTAGTATCCTTATTCCAATGATTGACTTTTTGAAATTCCTTCTGACTTAATTACTGATTCTTTGAAGGCTCCTTGAGCGTTTGGCATAACAAATGCCCTATAGAGTCTACCACTCATTAAGTTAAACTCATTAATCAGACACATTTTGGTTTGAGTTCTAGTTCTACAATTTTCTAGGTATTGTGTACTTGGCAAATTATTTACCCTGCATTTTGCATTTTTGTCTTAATTATTAATATTGAGACCAGTCTAGACAACTAAGTGACTTAGTCAAACTGTTTCAAAAAAAAAATACAAAGAGCTATGGATATAGCTCAGTAGAAAAAAAAAATCTTGTTTTTTCAGTCTCCAGTACTGTGTGAGAGAGAGAGAGAGAGAGAGAGAGACAGAGACAGAGACAGAGACAGAGACAGAGAGACAGACACACAGAGAGAGAAACAGAGAGACTTTATAGTATATTTATGGGTATTTAATGAGAAAGTGTAGTCCTGGTGTCAGTTCAAGGCCTATCACTGTTGCTATTGTTCTTATTTTTGCAGTTATTCAGTACTTACCAACAACCAGAAGCCATGCAAAATACTGTGCTACATGAAGAGCATTTGTCAGAAATATATACACTTTCGAGCACAGATATCCATATTTTAACTTTAAAATTATAATAGAATAATAACTACTAAATATGGAGTTGTTCTAATAGAGATTTGATTGTCCATTCATTAATTCATTTGAGAACTGTGGAGATCTTATCTTACAGGTAGGATGTTATTTGCCCTGAAGTTCTGCAGTTTTATTCTTTTTTCCCTGTTCTTCTTCACCAATTATACAAATGTGTAAATCTACAAAACTCATACATCCCCAATGAAAGACTCAGTTTTTTTTTTTTTTTTTTTTTGTCTTTTTCATTTTTATCGGTACCAGGGATTGAACTCATGACTGCCTGCTTGCAAGGCAGGCGCTTATGCCGCTGAGCTAAATCCCCAGCCTCGAAAGACTCAGTTTTATGATATTAATCACACAAATAGATGAGCCAGTTATTATTTAGATTTACAATTTGCCAAGTGGATTTCATATATATATATGATTAGCTTTCACCAATATTTTTGGTAAGTGATAAAAATAAAATCATCATGGTACAGTGAAAAAATATTGTTAAGTGGAGCAAACATCTATATTCTCCAACATGTCTTTGTAAAGTCAGTATCACCAGAGACCTAGATGTTTGTTAGGAATTTGCTTGGGCTGACACCTAGAATGATAGTAATCTTACTGTGTGACTTTTGTAGTGGGCCCCCAGCAATCATATCTGAGTGATGCATAAGGCCAAAATACCAACAGTTAACAGTTCAAGACTCAAGACAAAAGTCTAGAGAAAATCTTAGAAACTAGTCTTGTTTCCTTCATTGTACAGGGAAAAAAAAATAAAATCCACAAGTTTACTTAACTTTTGATTCTCAGAACCAAATGCACATCAAGACCACAAGTTTCCACTAGATTTGGCACATGTGAATGATTGAGCATGCAACTCTAGTGACTCATTTGCACAGATCTTAACCCCTCTAAGCCTCAGAGGCTTAGAGGTCCTCTGTGGTCCCCTGGCTGCGCCAGAATCCTGCCACTAGGAAGAAAACCAGCTAACAGAATATGGGGTGCCTTCCACCTAATCTGTGTGCATAGATGTCCCCTCAAGGTCCAACTTTCTAGGCAAAGTTGTTCAGGCAGGGAAAGGTTTTCAACCAGGAATGAAAATACACTTCATGAAGGAAACGCTTGCATGTGAAATTATTCAACAGATACTGAATCTTTAGCAGCAAGGGCTGACTACATTGTTTTCCAACAAGGATGTAGGTAAAAACTCACATGTGGCTTTCATAGTTGCATAGCCTTTATCAAATCGCATACTTTCTTTGACATAAAATATGTGAGTCAGTTGTCTTTTTTGTCAATGTGTCCCACATTGTAGTGGTAGTGTGTGACTTCTGAGAACTGCTCACATACTTACCAAGATTCAAAAGAGAAAAAGGGAGGGAGAGGAGACCCATAACTCCCTTTAAATTCACACCTCCGGTCACCTTACACTAGGCCCTACCTGTTAAAATTTCTATCACTTTCCAATTCCTTAAAGCTGAGGCTCAAGCCCCAATACCATGGCCTTTGGAGGTTATTGTAGATCCAATTACTAGCATTAATTGTTTCATTAAATAAAAGCATGCCTGGCTTGGTAGTCTATGAAGTGATCTTCAGAAGGTTATCACTGCTTTAATGCTTACTGGTAACAACACTGGCTTGTTTATTAGCAAACAGCAACAAATTTAAATCCAGTATAGTTTTACTAAGGCTTTACTGCCTCAAAGATATAATACCTTATTCTTGAATGATGAGAGCATGCAAAGATTGTCTAGCATGAGAAGTGATTTAAAAGTTTTTTTGCTCAAAATAGCATCACTGTATCTAGGGTAGGCCTGAGAGAAACAAGCCTAAAACCAGAGAAACATATGTTCTTAGTAATTTTGGTTTGATTATAAATTTTATTACAAAAATAGTTTTGCACAAGTGCCTTTATTTCTAGAAATGTCATAAGCTTCCTTCCCTGTTGTTTATACTAAATCTCGATTATTTTTGAAGAATGAGTTCAGCCAAAATATTTTCTTTTAATAAGTAAGAGTTTCTGAAAGAAATGAATTATTCACTTTCTTTTTAATTGAAAGGAAGACTTACTTAGGTATGGTGATAAAACATACATATTTTAGATTAAAGTTTGTTTAAAGAAGAAGGGTACAAATTTCATTTTTGGGATATAATAACTATAAGATCAGTAATTACATTCAGTTCAGTCAGGTGGCTCATGTCTTTAATTCAGGTCATCTGGGAGGCAAAGTCAGAAAGACTGTAATTTTGAGACCAGTCTAGACAACTAAGTGACTTAGTCAAACTCCGTTTCAAAATAAAAAAATATCACGCGCTGCAGATATAGCTCATTGACAAAAATCTGTGTTCAATGTCTAGTACTGTGAATGTGTGTGTGTGTTTGTGAGGCATATTCAAATTTAAAGTTGCAGTAACAAGTTTAATGTGGTTATGTATTTTATGTAGAATCTTATACTTACATTTAATCATAGAATGAGAATGTCCAAACTCTGCGAAGTGTTTTATACAGCTTACAGCTACCACTTTGATCTGTTTGGAGAAAGAAAGAACGTATTTTATGAATTAGAATATGGTAGGTAAAGGAGTATACATCAAGACCTTCACTCTGTCATGTTAAAATAATGCCCTCTAGATTGTTGTATGCCCCAGGTCTTTATTCATGATTTTCTGTGCCCTTGGACTTTGTATTTAGTGCTAAGGCAGTCATCATGCTGATTTACTCCCCTACCTGACCAAAATCAAAAGTACTGACATTTGTCTTCATCACTAGCTTTAAATTTTGCCCACTTTGAAACTTTTCATTGTTGCAGTACACTCTGTATATGAGCATCTGAAGTTAATCCTCATAGTCTTACTGG